CTCACTCCTTCACTACTCCGCCAATGTTCTTGGAGAACTTTCTCTTTGTAAATCTTCATTCATTGTCCAGAAGTCCAGACGAATTCAGGCTCTCGAATTCCTGCCGTATGCGTGACGACTGAGGAGGCAGATATGATTGCAAGATGGTACGATAGGAAGAAAAAGGTGATAATCAAACTGAACATCAAGTCGTACGAGTCGGCGAAATCGGTGCTCAGCCGAAATGTAGTGTTTGAGATTCCCGGTGGGTTCTTCACCAAAACACCTAGATTTCTAGCAATTATTAGATCATTAATTATTCATATTCATTATATATAGTAATTCATGAAATCATGCTATTCAAGGTTCCGTCTACCCTGAAGAAATCGTGCTCTTGTCTGCTCATATTGATTCTTGGGATGTCGGTCAAGGAGCCCTGGATGATGGTGGTGGTATGGCAGCCGTGAGAGCCGCAATGCTGGCAATCAAACGGCTTTCACTTTCTAACCCAGACTTCAAACCGAAAAGGTATACCCATTTCTCACTGCGCCGCTGTGAATATTATGGATTCAAACTAGCACGATAATTTTTAACTTCCGCTTTGTGGCGGAAAAACTAAATTTAAAAAAAATGGCGCGACTTCTTGTGAGTCCTTGTAGCAAAGTGTTCAGTAGACTTCGTGACGGAGTAGATGGTAAATTATTGATCGATTTCTCCTTGGGGCTTCTAACAAGGGAGGTCTTTCAGGACATGGAGCGCTTTTTCGAAATGGTTTTTGCATGTTGTAGGGGCTCATGCGAGGAACACAGAACCATGATCCATTTTTCCTGAACGCCTCCAGGAATGTCAAAACAGTGGTGAAGAAATGGTCCAGAGTTCGATCCCCGGTGATGACTAATTTTTGCAATATAGTTTGGCGCCCCAGATTGCCGCCAAATGGCGCCATCGTCGAGAATAGATGTCATTGTCGTGTTTTGCGGCAATTTGGAGGCGCCAACATAAATTGCAAAAATTTGTCATCACGGAGGATCGAACTTTCTTCCCCGCTGTTTTGACATTCCTGGGGGCGTTCAGGAAAAATGGACCATGGTTCTGTGTTCCTCACATGAGCCTCTACAACATTCAGAAAACCATTTTGAGAAAAAAAATACGCTCCATATCTTTGTAAGGGAAATCGAGTCGGTGCCAGCTGTCCGTTTGCCTAATTTTCGTTGGCTGGACCTCGTCAGCTGAAGCCTCGCAAATTGCAGGCTTACGCCAATCCCGTGCCAAGGGTGTGAAAAAACACACATCAGAAAACATGCATTTGTAGAGCTAGGATCTCTTTCAAGTGGGTCGTACACATAACGATAGTGAGAGTTTAGCAGAATATTTTTGTTCGAAAAAAGGGAACTAGCTTTCCGGAGACAGCCTTAATAAAATATACCCCAAAACTATTGAACTGACACAGACAATAAGCACAAAGAGATACTGTCTATGAATCGCCGGGGTGTTTATCATCATTGCCTGAGGCGTGCCGTGCTTTGCTACCCGCTTGGAAGAGATTTGTCTGCTCAGGTACCATCTTGCTTGTGTCATACATACCATGGTTAGGTCGTTATTCCAGAACTAATACGAGGGATATTTTGGACAGCCGAGGAACAAGGATCACTTGGTTCTTCGTACTACTTCCACGACCATTCATCCACAAAGGAACGTTTTGTGTTTGCATCGGAAAGCGATCAGGGAGCTTTCCGACCGCGTAACTATCTGTCCATCTTACGGTACCATTATACGCGGCTGCCCCAGGAACAAACGTCATGTGTAAAATCTAATGTGCATTCACATCCGAATATTGAACCAAATGCTTTCAGAAGGATCTTATTGAGCAAATAGTTACCCTGTTGAATACGAACGGCATTCCACTACGAGTTTTAAGTGACCCTGATCAGGTAAGCGTACAAATCAGTTTCACGTCAATTTTTTTCTAAAGTACAAATATCGTATTAAAAATATAATTAAAAAATACTAAAATACTCTCCCCGCTCTTTCGGCACACTCTGCGATTTATGCCACAATGTACGCCGCCGTAGTCAAACGTTTTCACAATGGTCCAAGAATATGTATCCCGTTCTCGGTGATCAACATAAGAATTGTACAATTCTAACTTCGTTTGCTGGGTCAATCGCTATGACCCACCGAGGCTATGAAAAATGTATTCATGCACACCTCATGCGCAGATCTTATCCCATAGCTGCCTCGTCTTCTCGTCTGTTTTGCCCTTGCGGTGTACTGTGTCTCGTAGCTTGCCTGTTTGTCTCCTAGACTTGTTCAATCTCAAAAAAGACCGCTATGGTCACACTTTTGCGCAGTCTATTCTCTGTTTTTCTTCAAGACACCCACTTTGCACTTAGTTTTTCGAACTTGGTAGCCTCGACCATGGCTCTGTACTGTGCAAGAGTAGTGCCGAGAGTGAACGTACGCGCGGAGAGCACAGACGGCTCGCGCATGGCGAGTGTGAATGTCGGCGCGGAGAGCACAAGTGATCGTGCATGAAAGTCCTCGACAGACCGTTGAGGTATTCTGGACAAATATTCGGTTGGGAGGCAGTTTGACACTCCGTAGCGCACTAGCATTATGGAACGAGGGTTCAAGTATTCCAAAAGAGCAATCGGACTCCATGACCAGCTCGACCTTGATCTGGACTGATTATAATTTAGCCACCCGCGAATTCTATGAAAACGACTCTCCACATCTTCAGACCTTTGTTTAGTTTATCTAAAAGATTGATTCCTATCGAACTGTCTGCTACAGGTGGGCGCTGCACGAAAAAAAAGTTATTGAATATCCGCACTCACTCACAAAACTTGAACCGGAAGTGCCAGTAACAACAACTAATTAGGGTTTTTCAGGTTGACGTCGCCATATTTGCTGAAGCCGGTGTACCAACAGTAAACTATGAGTCTGATAGAGGTACGGATTCTAGCTATTTTAGCATTCACACTCGGCACTTCTAATAAATGTGCCACCCCCTATCCAATGAGAAGGTAGATTTTTGCAATTCATGTTTTTCCATTAAGAGCTGTAGTAGCTATTACTGTTTAAAGGCAAAAGTCGGGCTCAATAAGGGGGTATTATGGCGATTGAAACTGAGTATAGAGATGCGAAGTGGAACGACAGTGGAGAAAAAAAACT